TCAATTAAATCATCGAGTAAATCAATAGGTGTATTTTTATGAATATGGTAATACCTATAAGAAGATAATGGTTGAAAAATATCACATTTACCTTGTTCATAAAGTCGTTTTAATCGATTTTCTTCTTGTACTCGTCCAGGTTGCCAATTTTTTGTTCGTTCATCCAATTTTTCTAATGGTGAAATATATTTTGGTCGATTTCGATGATGTGATGATGAATTTATATTTCTTGTTGTTGATGTTGCACAAATAAATTTCGACATTTGTATATATATATTAATATAAAGATAATGAATAATGTTGAAGATGAATAATTGAGGAAAAATGTAAACAATGTAAATATCTAGAACGAGAAAAAAAATATGTATCGCCAAGACCTTCATCAGAAAGTCCTCTTATTCTTCAATCCGACTCTCATGAACCCGTTGAAGGTTCATTTATAATAATAGTCATTTAATTTCCTTTGAATTAATGATTATGCCGATCAATAATAACAAGTAATAATTTCTGGAAAATTTCTGTTGTATCGATTAAATATAATATCTGATCTTGTGTAACACATGTAACGGTAGCGTGCGAATTACCATAAGAGGGAGAAAGGAAGAGAAAAAAAAGATATATGTGTATATGTATGTATATGTGTATCTGCCATGAGGAAAGAAAAAAAAAGAATTTTTACTAGAAGTGAGAAACATAACAAAAGGATTCGTTTAATGTTTACATATATGTATACTAAAGGTATGAAGAGAAGAAAAAAAGGTTCCATATAATTTGAAGAACGGAGAACGAGAAAAATAGAAAGGAAAGATAAAAACTGGATAGATAAATACGAATATATATTGGACATATAAGTGACCATAGAAAGTATAAATTATTTAATCTTGTTTAGTCACATATTTCTACGTTCATATAAGGGTCTGATGACATCTGTTGTGACTTGTCGTGTTAATATTGAATTTTTTATATGTTTAACAGTATAAGTTTTTGGACCAAGTTTTTGTATTATTCGATAAGGTCCTTCATATCTAATGTCAAATTTGTTTCGTCGATTAAGTGCTTGAATTAAGACTAAATCACTAATTTTATAAACTGGATTTGTTCGATAACGATCATATCGTTGTTTATATTTCTTCTGCTGCTGTAAAATATTTATTTTTGCATGTTCAGTTAATGATGATAAATATTTTTTTAATTTTTTAACATGTTCTGGATCTTGTGAAAGAGTAACAATAGGTTGTTGATGATCAAATGGTAATACCGGTAAACGGCCATACATTAATTCAAATGGAATAATTCCAGTTGTTGTATGAATACTTGTGTTGTAGTTGAATGTAACATATGGTAATTGTTCATCCCAATTTGTTCGATTTTCATTTGATAATGTTGCTATTTTTGAATCCATCGTTGCATTATAACGTTCAACTTGTCCATTTGTCATCGGATGATAAGGTGTTGAATATAAATGGGTTACACCTAATGTTTTAAATACTTCTGTCATCATTGAAGCCGTAAAGTGGGTTCCATTATCTGTAAGAATACATTTCGGAGTTCCATATTTGAGAATAACTTCTTCAATAAGAAAATGTGCTGCTGTTATTGCGGTGCAATCCCGTACTGCTTTAGTAATAACGAATTTGGATAAAACATCAGTTAATGCAATAATATATTTCTTTCCATTTCTTGATATTGGTGTAATTGGTCCATGAAAATCCATTGTAAGCAATTGCCATACTCCTTCAGGAGGTTTGATTGGTTGTAGAGCACCTGGTGGTTTTTGTCGTAACTGATTATTTTGTAAACATGGTATACATGATTTAACATAATTCTTTATATCATTGATCATCGATGGCCAAAAGTATCTTTGTCGAATCTTCTGAATGGTTCTATTCCGACCAAAATGTGCTCCGTTGGCGGGTGTATCATGATAAATTTTAATTATATCGAATCGAATTCGTCCCTTTGGTACAAATGGTACTGGTGGAGACGATTTT